ATACACAGGGTGTTGTTTCTGAACCCTTATTGTCATTCCCAGAACTGCTTGCAGCCTTTCAGAAACCCATTATTTTATAATTATAATCAAGACTATTAGGACAGGACAATTTGTGCCAAAAAGCACATTTACACTCAGAATTGTCACTTACCACTGTCACAGGGAGGTATCATCTCTATTTCTGTAGAAATCAAGGAGAGTAGCAGACACTGCATTTTAAATGTTCCATTTCTAGATGGCATGGGAGTTACTGACCTTGTCTAAACGATTCTCCAGTCACTCCCCTACTTCCCTTGTAGAATAGCCCAGAACACGATAGCAGCTGTTACGTGGTGGAAAGAACTCAACCCTGGGAATCAGGCCAACTTGACTTCACAACCTAATTCTTCCCCTTCCAAGTATACAACTTACTCTTTGCACCTCAACTTCTGCATCTGAGAAATGGCAAAGCTACTGATAATTGCCCAATGGAACCATTTTAACAATTAAATGAATTAAGACATAGGCTGGAACAATCCCAGACATTGCTAGACAAAAGCTTAGCAAATGCTAGTTATCATTGTGATTGGTACCTATAAGCTGTGTGACCTTGGGCAAATTAATCATCCTTTCTGGGCATCCCCTTCCTTTCTGTTTAAATAGAGTGATACCTATCTTATAAAGTAGTGCCCTCAATCAGATGAACACTCAAGATGTTCAGGGTATTTGGTTCATCTGATCAACCACTTGCTCCACAGGTTTCAGTTTGACTGAAAAAAACTCAGTGATCTCCATAATGGAACTCATAGCGTGCGATCTTCTTCTCACCATCTGGAAAGTCCTTAGCTTTTGGAACTCCCCCAGTAATCTCTGTTCCACCACAGACCTGTGATTCCCTCAGAAAGTCAGACTGAGAAATGATACAGTAATCTAAGCATACTGTTTACTGAAGCAGCACTATTCAGGGAAGCAAGTTGAGATGAGAAAGATCGAGAAGCTTGTTCAAAATCACATTGTGAAGATCTAGCAGAACAGAATCCAAAGCCAAGTACACTATATAAATCTGCTGGACTAGTAACTATATTAAAAAGTCCATATAGAAAAAATTTTAATCTGTACCTTCCATATTTACTAGCAATGGCTAAAGTATTCCATAGGAGGAAAATAAAAACTAAATTTTTCAGCCACTTCTGATTTTCAGAGTATCCGTGCTTTTCAATTAGTAATACAGGTTACTCAGCTTTCTAGATATTAGGCTAAAATATCTATGTCTTAAACATAAGGTATTTGTGTCTTCTAATTTAGCCAAGCTAAAAGAAAGGATAATATTGGTACACTGGAAACTGAGTCCAAAGCTCGTGGTCTCTTGTTCTGCCTTCAGATATTGTAACTTAAATCCTATATAAAGGTGCATTGCTAAATTTTATATACTTGGATTATATCAGATTGCATTCCTGTCAAGTCGATTTTCAGTGACACCTCCCTGCCATTTAATGAGACAGGAAGGGCTTTTAAAGGAATAGACTTATTCCTTTATTCATGTGGCAGAAATGATCCCTGAGTTAAAGATAGTAACTGGTATAAATACAGAAATAACAGGTTTCCCTGGAAGGTCATTTGGAGGGACCAACTATGGGCCCATTTGCCTGAAAGGCCTGAGAACCTCAGGGTAAAGAATTTAGATTATCCACAATTGTCTGGGGAAACAATTGCTAAAATATGGTCAAGAAAATCACCTGCTGTCTCTCCCTGTATTCACTTTAGAAAGTCCCAGAGGGGAAAGACAGTGGAGCCGAGGGGTTTCATTCATCATTTCCTGCTGTCTCTTACATGCCAGTTTCGTCCATCAGACCAACACCCATCCTTTGGTTCAGCCTTCATATTTGGGTTCTCCTATTGAGCCAAGTTCATAGCAAAGAGAAACTAAAAATGAAGGGTGATGGTAAGAATCAGAGGAAGCATTAGAGAAACACTCTCCTATAGTTGGTTGCTAATATCAGAAAGATTGGGTCTAAATCCAAGCTCTGCCACTTATTACTTTTATGACTTTGGATAAGTGACTGATAGTCTCAGAGCCTTAGTTTTCTAACAGGGAATAATGTTGCTATTGTTAGTGCCTATCTTAGAGGCCAGGTGTAAGAATTTAATTAGCTATCATATATAAAACAATAGAAAAAAACTTAAACTTCGCCATTAGAATAAAACTATTATAAGGGGAGACCTCTTCCTAACTTTGGTAAAGTAACTTTTGGATTACTTGGAGTTGAGGGACCAAGCAGAAGTTGTTGGTCCATGACAACAGCGACAGCCATAGAGAACAAGAGCCCCACCACTTGCCTGGTCTGGAAAGCATGGAGCACAACATTCCTTGTAGAGACAATTATTTGTTCTTTTATCAATTCTTCAGATAAACAGATGTTGTCTGTCCAGTCTGTTCCCACCATCAAGGTCGCTTTGGAGGAGGCTGGTGACAGATGTGTTATCTTTTCAGCCCTCACAGAATTCTCAGCCATTCTTGTGAAAAGGTCTTGTGAGTTCACATGACACCCTCCAGGAACTTGATGGTGATTTCTAGAAAGGTTATAGAGTCCACAGAAAGTTGGGATTCAGACAATTCTGAGCAAAGGCTAAGTCAGAAGGAAGCTGCCTGATTATAATGACTGTCCTCCCATGATCCCAGGGGCCTGGGAAAACAATTGCTAAAATATAATTGAGAAAATCACACATTGTCTCTCCCTGTACTTACTTAGAAAGTCCCAGAGGAGTAATAAACCCCCCAAATCACCCTTGCATCAAACATGTATTATTTTTAACACAACAGTCTTACCAAGGAATATTCTACACTCATTTTATCTTTGAGTTTAACTAGACTCAGATAACTGAGACACAGATGTTAAATGAAGAGTTTGGCTTCCCCCAAATCACATTATCCAAAGGTCAGAGGATTCTGTCTCTAGTTAGGACATCAGGCTGGAAAGATACTATGCTAAAGATTATTTAATGTCTTTCTTTTCTCTATTTGTTCTTCTCTGGCTCCAATTCTCCAATTCTAATTTATTTTATCTCATTTTCTAGATCTAAAGGGTTAATCTTTTTTTTTTTTTTTCTAAAGGGTTAATCTTATTGTCCATGTACATATTGTTTGAAGTGCCTTCATGTCCTTAATGGAAAGGAATGTGTTATGAACAAATCCCTTTATTTTTTTCACCCAAATTATGACATACACACACATATGACATGTAAATACATACATACATACATACATACATACATACATATATATATATATATATATATATATATATATATATATACTTATTTATAGAGAACTCGGAGGCTTCACTTCTTGTTTTGCCATCTTTAAGGATGAAACAATGAGGTATAGTAGGCTGAGCAGACCTGAGGATCTAGAGTTCTGCCACTTGGTTAATCTGTTGCCTAATGACAATAAATTTTCTTCTTTGAACTTAAGATTTCATGCAAGTAAAATGTGGAAATTAATTCTTAATCTACCACCTAACCAGGATATGAGATTCAAATGTGGTTATGATTGCATGAGTATGTCCCAAATTGTTGAGTATCTGAACATTTAAGACCTTCTAATAGTCTACCCTTAATCTTCTTTAACCCAGAGGATTTAAATAGCTGCAAAGAGGCTCACACTAGCTTGTTTTTTTTCTCTCTCCCCTTTCTGTTTCTGTCATTTTTTTCCTTTCATGTCCAACTTACCTGTAATTTTCCAAATATCATCTGGGAGAGGGAACTGTTGGGAAGGAGTTCAGTGTCAGTTCTGTATACAGAAAACACTCCAGTTGTATTCTGGTTGTATTCACTCCTGGAATCTTGCTTATTTCCTTGAATTAATTCAAGGAATGCATACTTAAATATAAAGACATACATACTTTACTATATTAAAGAAACATATTCCTTTAAGCATATTCAGAATCTAGCACAGATATTTGGATGTAAGCAATCATGTGCAAACACAAATTGAGAGCCTGTCTCTAACAGCTATAGACCTACCCAATGTGCAAACTCCACTTGCAATATGATTGCTGCCTTCCATGCATGCATGGTGCACAGGCACACATGTTCTCGCTAGCACACACATATGCACAAACACTAGAGGTATGTGTACAAGTGTATATATCCATTTTCAACAAAGCACCAAAGATGTAAGGCATGTTCATGAACTCTGAACATTCTTACACACACACAAAAAAAAACACTCTGGAACACACAGTCACAAAGCACACTCCTGATTGCAGCCAAATTTCCAGTTTCTTATAACCGTGGTTTCTAGCTTTCCTCACTGCCTACATTTCTTTGAATACAAACTTTGGAGGAAGTTGGGTAAGAGTGTTTTTCTGAGAAGTCTCTTTACCATAACTGACATTAACCTCGGGGACAATACATTCTTAATGGTAACAGCTCCTCTTTCCTCAGTGTGGTCATGGAATGAGACCCAGCAGCAAGCACCAGGGAAACTACCCACCTCAAATCATTTCACAGCCCATGAGGGATTCAGTTTTCCATCAAGCCATTCTCCTTGGCTCCCCAGTCCTGTGGTCACCCCAGCTGTTTCAGCCTGTTTCTCTGGGATGATGAAGAGCAGCTGCCCTCTGAGTTCCCCCTCTTGCCCTACCTATAGCCAGAGTTGCTTATTATGAAACCAGGACATTAAATTTGTCTCCCTCTATTATGATAGGAGCCACTTTCAATCAAATTATTTTAATGCTACCTTCATGAAAGTCATAACTTAGGAGGTAATAACTTTAGAATGACATCAAGTGACAAAGTGACAGTATATTTTACATATTTGTCTGAATGATAGTACTTGAATATGGATATTTCCAGCCTTATTTATGATAAGGGTTGATAGAAGAGACATGAAAAACAAGAACTGAATTTCTAAAAACAACTATATTAGGAGTCATTAATTGATAAGTAGAACCTGCTACAAACTGACCCATGCGTGTATAAATATGTGTGAACCAGGTTTCCTTAGGAATTAGTTATAAAATTTTTGACCTTTATAAGGAAATTGATTAGAAGAAATTAAAGTAGAGGGGGACAAGTATCAGGAGTCTTCCAGATCATCAGATAGACTATAAAGTGTACTTAACAGAAAGGTAAAAGTTACTAAGCACCTCGTTCAGTTGAAACTTCTAAAACTGCTTTGTTTGAAGATAGCTAAAAACATAAGGTATGATATACTTATTCCTCAAAATACTTAAGGTAGTGATGTCCTTTCCTAGTCTCCTGGGACTGGGAGTGAAGGTGTCTTTTTGTTCTAATACAGTTCGATGGGGTAAGCGTTGAGTGGACTTTCCCTGTCATAGCCATTTGACTGAGTTGGCTCAAACATCCACCCAGAGGGTCTCTGTTCTAGCAGTCTTTATTCTCTCTCTCTGATGAGCTCAATGAGAACACTGTGGAATCACCTGCCCCCTCAGCAGGCTCAGACCTTGCAGCATTTACTATTGTGAACTGAACAAGCAAAGGCCCCTGTGGGCGAGAAACACCTCCGGAGATTGTCCTCCTCAGGTGGTGGTTGTGGCTTCATGCTGGCTGCTTTCTTCATCTTCCTCTCCTTCTGGACTCCAGGGCTTACCATCCAGCAGGGATTTTCTGAGGCGTCTCCAGAAGATGTGCCGGCCCAGAACACTGTCCTCCCACTCGAGGTAGGTGTTCCTGCTTAGAAGGCGATACAGCTCGACCTGCTGCCGCAGCAGAGATTTCTCCAACTTCTGCAGGACGATGAAGATGATGCCCGCATGGCTGCTCAGAAACTGCCAGGTCTGGGCAATTTCATACTCAAAGATGCACCATCGGCTCTGGATGAAGTGCTGGGACACGACCACAATAACCTTGCGGCTTCTGTGGAAACCTTCCTGGATGATGTTGGCGGCAATGGCCACACCAGGAATAAAGTCTCTGTAGTGAAGGCACAGCCGAAAGGGAGGCACCCCCTCCTCCAGATTTTTCACCAACTCATTCCTCACCCAGTCCTCATCCTGGCTGGAGTAGATAACAAAGGCATCATAGGTGCTTTCGCCTCTGCCATACTTTTTGCAACCCACAAGGAGCATCAGATGAAAATAGAACTTATAGTACAGAATTACCACCGTAGACACCATGAGCACAGCAAGCACCGACACAGTGATGACAATCCTGTTCATCTGACAGGTGGCATTCCTGAAACTCAGTACAGGCACATACTTCATGTTGTCAGGGGTGCCACACACCATTTGTTCAGCTGCCACCAAGAGCTGTTTATGGTCCTTGGCCCACTGCAGGAAACTCTGGTATTCACAAACACAAGCAAAGGAATTGTTAGTAAGATTTAAAGAAACTAAACTCCTTGGAAGATGGTGTAGTTCTTCCTGAGGGGCCATCATGCCATTAAAACTGTAATCCAGAACCTGGAGGTTGAGAAGAGGTTCATAAAGAAGTACATCCAAAAACAAGAGATTGTTGTGACTCATATTAAGCACCTGAAGTCTGGAGATGGGGTCAAATGCTTTCCGGGACACCTGTTTCAGTTTACAGTGAGAGAGGTCCAAGGAGGTCAAGTTCACCAGCCCTGTAAATATGTTTCGAAGCATGTCACCTTGAAAAGTATTGCCGGCCATTTTTAAGACTTGGAGTTTGTCGAGGCCAGCAAAGATGCCATCGAAAGTAATTTGAGTATTAGTATAGGATATGTCAAGGTAAATAAGATTTTTGAGTGACAAGAATACTGAAAAATCATTGACTTGTTTCAAGGTGGAACCGTGGAAATCAAGATGTTCTAGTTGCTCTAAGCCCAAGAAGTTTGAGGTCATAGTAATCACAGCATTGAAGCTCAGATTTAAATACTTTAGTCTGCTTGTCCCTAAATAAGTCTGAGAACAGCAGTGATTAAAAGTCAGTTCATTATTACTGAGATCTAAGAATTCCAGGTTTGGTAGCTCAAGTTCAGGAAGAATGTTCACACCTTTGTTGTCAGTGAAAACCAATTTTCTGAGAGACTTGAGCATCAATATAGGAAATTTCTCAAATCTACATTTAACCAATTCTAAGTATTGCCATCTTAAGTAACCAGTAAGTTCTGATAACTTACTTAAATTTAGACTTACCAGAGAAATCCCAGAAATATTTGCCAAACAATTTAAAAAGTCAGTAGTTTCCTCTGAGAACTTGTGGAAAAGTGTGATCTGAAATTCCCCAATGGTCACATCACATAGCCCATCTAGTGCAGATGTGTTGAAACTTTCTAATTCCCTTTCATTTTTAAATTCTCCCAAAACCAACCGATCAATTTTTAAACCTGCCAGACCTTGAATGCAAGTTTTCATTATATCTGTACTATTAAAATTGCTTCTCAAGGTCAGTTGATGAAGCTTAATTTCCTTAAAGGCTCCTGGTTGGATAAAGTCTAAAGGGTTCATGGATAAATCTAAGGAAAGTCCGGTTAGGGGCCTTTGGTACAGAACCTGCAAGTCTCTCTGATAAATATTTTGTATCTTATTATTGGAAAGGTCCAAGTATTCCAGGTTGTGTAGGTTAGAAAAATAGTCAGGTAACTTGAAGGAGTGAATGAAATTGTGAGCCACATTAAGCTCTTTCAAGGTTTTGACATGTCCAATGGGAAAGTCCTCTAGAGATGCCAAAGTGATCTCCACCGCTACCAGCTTCTGTAAATTTAATAGTCCAGAAAAGGCTCTCATGCCTAATCTTTGGATAGGGTTTCCCGTCAATAGCAAGGTAGAGAGTTGGTTTAGGCCATGAAATGCATCATCTTCAATCATTTGAATTTCACACCTACAGGCAAAAAAGATGTAGATGATAAATCTTTCTACTGAATAAACACAGTTTTCATACAGATGTGACATACCATATGGTGACTGAATATAGGCAAAGAGACCAAGAGAGGCCTGAGTCCCATGAGATGACATAAGCAATATGAAGATCTACAGGTTCAGTATTCTTTATCACACTCTTCACACTAGGTAACATTCTAAGCAGAGGGCGCACCTCCATTAAAAGGAAGCCAACTCAGGATCGGGGCATAGGAAGACTAAGACTGCTAGAGTAGATGACAGTCTTGAATCAACTTTAGTCATTTTCTTTTAACAAGTAATTGTAATTATACATCCTGTTAGTAGAGATGATACAGAGAAGTTAGTTGTTGGGCATGATAAATGACTGGAGAATTACCATTTCGAAGATGAAAACAATACACAAATGGGTCACAGATACTCTGAGTATTTATGAAAAGGCCTCCATATATGATAGATAGATATTTGAAAGTTAGTTATCATGGTAGAATAATTTTTAATATTTGAAAGTTAGTTATCATGGTAGAGTGATTTATAGCAAATATCTGTATCATCATTGATATAACCAAAATATTTCTCATTGGATATTAATCCACCGTTCCTGATTTACACACAACTCCCCTGAAAATTTCTAAAGTGTTGAGAGTGTTAAAGGTGTCTCTGGTTATGCTAACTAAAGTACAGTTTGGAAAACCTATGAGGGGGACTGGTTACCAGGATAACTAACAGGAACGAAACAACCGTTTAGTAAGAAACTACTTTTTGTTTTTAAAGGGAGGAAGGCTGATCTGTCTACCTCAGTACCTTTCCTGATGAAATTCTTACTCAAAAACTGAAATTTTGAAACTAATGAAATGCTGTAATAATACTATTTTTTTCTCTTTTCAATAGTTTATTTTTTCATCATTTTGTGCATTTTCCCATCTCAGTTGTAATCCCCTTGTGCTTCCCATCACTAACTTACCCATGTGCCATCACCAAAGTCCAGTGCATGAAATGCTGCAATAATACTATTTTATACTTATGAAATATAGCTTAAATGATTCGGACCAAGCCCTGGCCCTAGAGGATCCCTCACACCCTTCCATCCAGAAGCCAATCTTTGCAAAGAACATACAAGGGGAACTAGAGGTTGCAAGTCTAAGCCCTGATCAACCACGTGGGGCTTTTTAATCCCTTTCCAGCTTGGGGTGTGAGTATCTCCACTGAAAAGCTCTAATTGTCCATTATTGGCATGTATTTTGAAGTCTTCTCCCCATGAAATAAAGCCTCATTGTGCATTTTATTTTTTTTTCTGATATGGAAATGAGGGATGGGGGAGGGAAAGAGCCCCTCATTTCAAGCTTCGGAACCACCACTGTGTGTGTGTGTGTGTGTGTGTGTGTGTGTGTGTGTCATGTTAATGGTCATTATCACATTTAATCCTGCAGAGTAAGTTTCATCATTCTGTCTCACAGATGGACACTGAGACTCAGATAGGGGAAATAACTCAAGCAACATGACTATAAGCTGCAAAAGGACCTCCCGAAGATCTTCTGAGCTGCATGGGATTGAGGTTCTGTCTTTAAAATGCTCCATTTCCCTCTTGGATATATACTACAACGATTCATGTTAGAACATAAAATATTAGTTGTTCATTCTTCTATAGAAATATCTACTCTGAAGAGGATTTTCTTATGATACACTTAGTTCTTACTAAGTTTCCCCAGTGAAAATCTATATATAAAATATTGCTCTAGTTTCTCACTAAGTGGTATAAAGAATGGAGATCATTATCTAATAATTCTTTAATAAGGTCCCTGAAGACAAAAAATGGTCTCAGAATTCTGTACTTTCCCCCCAAAATAATGAGGATAATTTCATCTCAATACCAGAAAACCTTAGCTACTGTTTCTTCTCACAGCAGATGTTTTTGCCTTTGATCTTGCAATCGTCTCTTCGATTTACTTTAGCTCCTAATTTCCTGTCCTCTACCCCACTTTCAATATTCCAGTATTATTTGAGCCCCACTAGATTTTTGAAGCCTGTCTTGCCCTACCACTGAAGAGACGGCCTTTCTTGTGAACCACACAATATATTGACCCTGATTTACACATAGTTTATCACCTACTGCTACATGTTACATTATCTTGGGTGTAAAATCCACAATCAAAATCAGGTAACATTTATTGAATGTCTACTATGTGCCCAGTACCATGCTCCTGATTTTATTATATTAATCTTTTCAAGTGAATATGCCCTGCTTAATAGCTGGGGTGGTTTGATATATATCAATATATTCTTACTTTCTTTCAGAGTGTTCAACATTAGCAAGGGTCCAGTAAACATGTGTCAGTGAAAGAATTTAAGTCAATTTTTTACCCTGACTTAAAGAAAATCCAAAAATATAATTGTCTTTAAAAACTATCTCTTGACCAGTTGCTTATTTCTGAGACCAGTGGATGGGAAGTAGCTTGCCCAATGATGCCAGCATTCAAGGCACCTATTGAATAAGTAAATCAATACATGAATGAATAAAGTTGACAACTTATAAAGTAGACTTTCTGGCTCAACCTTGGAATGGTACAGCAATGAAAAGCTCACCTTGTACAGTATGTAAAAGCTCTTTCATTACCTGGATAAATCCAGCACCTGTAGTTCTGAGTAGTTGGAGAAGCTACGTCCTCCTAAATGCTTCAGGGGGTTAAAGCTCAGGTCCAGTTCTTTGGTTGATATGGGAATGTTGTCAGGGACTTTGTGGAGATTCAAGTCCATGCATTGGTAAGTAACATTAGGAACCACCTATAGTGAAAATACATTCAATACAGTGTCTTACTTAATGTACTTCAACAGAGTACTGTTGCAACTCCCCTTAGGCCAGGTCTGGAGGACTCTTTTACAAGTGAAAGTGCCAATCCATCTTCTTTTATGCATGCACACATTTCTCATCCATCCATCCATCCATCCATCCATACATACATACATACATACATACATACATACATCCACATTTATCCTCTCACACCATACTTATGAGACACTGGTTCTAAAGAAGGGTAGAGTATCTACTATGTACCCAGTGCTCTACTGTGCAATAGCATCATTTTGTAAGAAACAATAGAATTAAGTAATAGAGAGCTGAACCTTTGGAGCCTAGAAGCTCTGGGTTTCACGATAAGTATGACTTGAAGTAAAGGCAATTTTTGTGTTGATGTCATTTCTAAATTACTACCCCTTCCCCGTGCACACACACACACACATATGTATCCAGCCTTGGGGAGGTTGCCAGTCAGGATATCCACAGCTCCTTTCGTCACCACCCAATTTTTGTGTAATGCATTTTCTCAACCTTGGTTCATTAACATTTGAGCAGATAATACAGAAGTGGGAAAATTTTTTCAGAACACATAGATTTCAGTTGTGGAACCTAGCAAGTGAGATAAAGACTTTCTACTTCCTTACTTACAGTGCTGGTTTCTAGCATCCCATCCCCAATTTTTTGTAAGTCTTGTTCTCCAACCACCCATTATTTTTTCTATTCTGATTTCCTCATTAAATTTCTTGCATAAACCAGCTGAATTTTATTTTCTGTTGTTAAAAAACCATAGGTTCTGTTAAAAGGATTAAATTTGATTAGGTAAAGATAGTTTAAAGACATTCTTTCAGAGTTAACTTCAGTGTATCTGATCAGTAAATATTAGTATTTTTATTATTAGCTATTACTAATTTCCAATTTTATGTCCCTATACTCATTAGGTTATATAGTTAAATCTCCAAATAAAACTTTTAATGAAGAGTAGTTCAGAAAGATGAAATAATAGGCACGAAGGCCCAGAGATCATATGGCAGCTACTCACTTCATTTGCATGTCTGCTTAAATGTTGCCCTTACTAGGAACCTCACCAATCATGCCATCTAAGAGGGTGGTCCCAGAAGCTTATCCCTCTGCCTCTGCCTCTTTACTCTTCACAGATATCTCACCATCTAACATTATGCTGTTCAGATGATTGGTCCATAGGCATTGTGCAGCTCTTTTATAAACCTAAGGTCTTCCCTTTTCTATGCCTTTTGTGCTTAAAATGGTGCCCAGCAAGTGGTTGATGCTCAAAAAAATATTTGTTGAATGACTGACTGAATGGATGGTTGTTGAAATCCAAATTGTAGACCTACTCTGCGAAGTGCTGTGGACAGGGACAGATGTGATATGACTCCAAATTTCAGTGAGTTCACATTCTAGACTAAGGTATTAGGAAGGAGCACAACTCTTTTCTGAAAAGTGCCATAAGCCAGGCTTGGAGAAAATATTCCTTCTGGCTCAGTAAAAATGGCAATCGATTCTGTGTCTAAGGATTATGTAAGGTTTTCGAGAAAGACTTCAAAGAGGGTCTTGAATGATGCGTAAGGTTTGAAGACCTGGTAAGCCAGGGAGAGAACAGTAAAAGGAAGAGATGGACAATTCAGGTTAGGTGGAACATAGTAGCAGTGAAACAGGAGCCAGAGGAGAAATCAGAGCCAAATCAAGAGTCATACACTTTCTCATGTGGCACTAGTTTTAGTCATTCAGCATAGATGAATCAATTTGTCACTATGTGCTAGGCAATTGGAAAGCAGAACCGGCAATAATTTGGTTCTCTCTTATAGATATCATTTAAGGTGTGGGGGGGGTGCCACAGGAGAAAAAAGCATCATTAAAAAATAAGTGGAAAAAATATAGGGAGGTACTACTACTACTACTACCACTAAAAATCCATAAGAGGATTAGAGGCAAATATTGTGTGTGGAGACCTCTTCATAAGCGAGTCAGGAATACTTACTGAAGGAGGAGACATGTGTGGAGAAATCAGACTGCAAAAAGGGATTAAGAGTTGAAAATACGCATTTCCAGTGTGACAGCCACTAGCCACACATGGCTATTAAGCTTGAGAAATGTTTAAACTGAGACATATATAAAAATAGATACTAAATCTCAAAGACAGTGCCAAAGGAAACCTCCAAACCGTCTTATTAATAATTTAATATATGTTACATTTTGAGATAATATCTTGAATATATTAGGTTACAATCTCATTACAAGTAAATTCAGCTCTTTCTCCTTTATTATAATCACTGGGAAATTTCAAATTACATTTTAAATTTAGTTAGTTAAAATTCAGCTAAATAAAAATGTAATTAATTTTTAATGTGTTATTGTAAATCATATGTGGCCCACATGGCATTATTCTTGATAGCCCTGATCTAGGGCGGAAGCATTCTAGCTCCCGGAAATCCACTTTAACAGTAGTAGGAAACCACCCTAACAGCCATGGAAAGTTGTGATATATTCTCAAGGAGACTAATTTGTCAGAACCCAATCTAAGGAAAACAACAAAACATAAACCACAAGCAAAATAATGCAGAGTGGATTTAAGGAAAGGCTTGAAGCAAAGAGGCCAGTTACTGTCCAAGAGTCAAGACCAGAGGGACTGAGTACCTGCCCTAGGGAGGTACTGGAGGATGAGAGTGGGGTGGACAAGCTTTAGAGACAGACAATGTGGGGGAGAGGAAAGGGAGGAACCAGGGTGAATGTGATTATATCCAAAGTGACCCAGTTGGAGGATCTATCCCCATTTCCTTAATAGCCTGTGGGCTACAGAAAAGAAGACCAGGAATGGGGTGTGTGCAGAGCACTACGGGAAGGGAGGACTTTGTGATAACAAATGTTTGTTACCTGTTAAAGTGACTATTTCCCTCCAGGTTCTCAATTTTTGGACCTTGGCTAACTGTGCCTTCCTTGAGTTTCTGGCCCTGCACACCCCCAGTCTGAGAGCATTGTCCTGGCTGTTTACTCCTAGCATGGGTTTCTAGAGCAACTCTGTAGTTGTGCAGGAGAAAAACAACAGCTCCATCATGAAGAATTACCAATTCGCTGGTTGGTGTTTTCCAAAGAAGAGAACATTGCTTTAGCTGACATTTCCTGTCTCACTCTTTTTTCATTTTCTCTTGCTCTCTTTTTTAAATCTTTCTGTTGTTTCACCTTTTTTCTCTGATCCCCTTTTCTTTTCCAGTCTCTCCTTTTCATTTTTAGGACAAAGCTGTACGACTGGATTCAGAAGTCTGAAGCCTACTTAAAAAATATTTCCATTAAGAATAAAAAAACAAACAAACAATAAAACCTTGTCCTGAAATAGAAAGGGGACAAAGTGACAACTAGAAAATGAGTTTGTAAACCTCAGGCATAAAGGAATGACAGCAAGCAGCCATCTTACAACTTTCTGTTAAAGTAGAGGTTATTATAATTTCTCCATAGCTGTGAGACTATGTTTAATAACATCATCAAGGTCACACAGCCAAGAAGTCAAACAGTGACTTTAAGCGGGTCTGTCTACCTGATATTAAGACCTTATTAGCAAAGTCTTAAGTAGGAGAAAACCCCATAAACCACCTATTCGTGTCCTAAAACCATGAATTGTTTTGGTCCCTATGACTTCTGAAGCCTTTAAGATAGTACTTGACTCCCTTTCATAAATGAAACTAGTCAGGGCCCACAGTGGGAAGTTCTGGGCACAAAGCAGATTTTCAGAAGCAAAGTGAAGCTCACACAAGGTGAGCTGACTCCAACCACATACCTGCACACAAGGGTCCCAGCTCTCGGGTCTCAGGCAAGAAAGGAAAGTCATGGCTAGGATGATCAGGGTCCCAGCCAAGCGCATGGGAGCCATCATGCTGGCATCTTCTCTTAAGAGATGTGGCCAGCATGACACAGGTGCCAGCTACCTGCTATCCCCATATGACAGGGCAGCATCCTCTTGTGGCACTGTTCACTCCTTCCCTAAGTCCATACCCACTCAATTACTGTATTCAAAACAGTGCTGGGTTAACGGACAAGAGGAAGTGAAAGCGTCAACCTTAGCATTCTGGACTTTTGTTTCTTTAATAGTTACCCCCCCCACCCCCGTCACAGAAGGGGAAGTTAAAAGAAGAAAATATCCACAGACTAGGGGCTGGACTAGCAGCAAGAGGAAGCTGGCTCTTATCCCAGGAAATCATCTGATCTCAGGGTTAGTACATTTAGGGAAATAATGGTACTGGTCAAACTGCCTATGCAACTCTCTAGGATGGTAGCTTTCCAGTTTTGTTTCTGAAGTGGAAACTTTCTCTCTGTCGTTGTTTGCTAGGGCTGGCATCATGAATTACCACAGACTGTACTTTAGTTCTCACGGTTCTGGAAGCTAGTAGCCCAAGACCAAGCTGGTAGCAGGACTGGTTTTCCTGAGACTCCCTCCTTGAGTTTTAAGTGACTGTGTTCTCCCAGTATTTTGACACGGCCCTTGTGGTCTGTACCTTGTTTCTTCCTCTTCTGTGACACCAGTCACATAGCATGTGAGTTATACAACCCTCCCTATAGATCTGTGTCACTTTCTTTATTAAGGACACTTTTCCCAAATATAGACCCATTCTGAGGGGCTGGGTGAAGGACTTAAACATATCCGTTTTGGGGGGACATAATTCACTCCATAGCACTTTCCATTCATGTGAATTCTGTTGAAGAAACTCAAATTTATGTAACTGAAAATAAAGTCCCAATAAAATGAAGTTTAAAATGTGGGAAAAGCTTGGTGTGAAGAGCCTAAAATGCTAAAATTCAAATGTAGCCTGGGTGACTTATGGCCAAGGGGCAAAAGTCAAGCCACTTAAATTGTTGAACCTGAATTGCTGGTCTATAAAGTGGAATAATAAGTTGTTATATTATAGCAGAGGCTTGTATTTATGGAACTCAGAAAAAGAAAGTCATGGAACAATAGCCAAATATCATAAACTACTAAATCTTAGTTTTCTGGTCTTAAAAATGGAGATAATCATCTATGTCTTACTTAATTGAAGTCAGTAAATTTATAAAAGTTGCCTGCTCTAGTACATGGTTCATCAGAACATTCTATAAATTGATAACCACTATGGTTTCTTAAATTATGTACAAAATGGGGATAATGATACATACTCAAGTGATTTTCATGGGATTAAATAAACTGGTATTTGGAAAGTGCTTAGCTCAGTATCAGGGATGAGCAAATGCAATGTCAGTTTCTGTTAAGTAAGAACCAGTTTTAAATGGGATTATCACTGGTATCATGTTCCAGATAGTTCTACCAAGGTGTTCCATGTGGGTCTCCAAGCCAGTGTGGGGCTGCGAGAGGCTGGGCACACTCTTACAGACCTCTTCACCACAGCTGTGAAATGAAGCTAAAAATAATTCCCCTTGCCATGAAAATTACAGATATCCCCTGCTTTTTAAAAGTTCACCTTATAATACTTTGGAAAAAACTTGCATTAGTCGCTGTTTTCACTAAACAGAAGAAACCCAAAGAGGATAATCATTTTCACAGCAGAAGTCACAGCATTTGCCCTGCAGGAAGGTGTTCCATTGGCTACAAACATCCATGCAGCAAGCCTTCCCGGGGGCCACTCTTTGTAGGCCAAGGCTTTGTCACGTCCGTTGTTCTCCTTCTTGGATTTTATGTTAGTGTTGTTTTAGGTTTTATAGGTTTTTTTAGTGTATGTGTGTGTGCATAATTTGGTAGCATATTTAAGGGGTCAGGGAATGCTAATACATTTTTTCCATAAACAAATGATAATTACATCTTCATATTACATCATTTCTTCTCATAAAAAATTCATAAGAACACTTTACATTTAGACAGTAAGGAAGCCTGTGATGGACTCTATGTAAAGGCCTTTGAGCAGTATCTTGCATGTTATAGGTCCCCTGATGAAGTTGAGTCCCCTGGGAAGACAATAGCATTTTACTTCCACATAGTTGTCCAAGATGGCAATCAACTTCCTCACTTATTTTAATGTGCTTAATTATATTTTCTTATTTTTTGTATTCTTGATGCTCTACCAACCTAACTTTTGCTGACAGGGGATAGACTGCTTCTCCCAGGACTAGATAATTCTCAGCAATAGCAAAGGATTTGCCCTGTAGGGCACCTTTCATATATAAACTGACTGATCCAAGCCAATACTCTCCATCCCCTGCCTTTTTCTGGCTCTTTTACCCTAGGAGGCAACATTTTTTTGACCTAATCTTCACAGATCCAGGTACCTGAGAATGAGAGAAAGATTGCACCCTAGAGCCTAATGAAATTATTCAAATTAGCCAGTCCTAAGCCTACTTAACCTGCCTTTCCTTCCCTTTCCCACAGAAACTGTGACTAGTCTCCCATAATTCCTTCTGTTTTTTTTTATGGAACCTGGTGCTTCCCCATGGGGTTCTGCATGGTGTAGAGTGACCCCTTCTCTTAGGAACTGTGAGTAACTGCCTTTTCAAGACAATTATCTCCCCATCTGCTGTCTCTCCACATTTGAATAATAAAACTTATATTTTAAAACAAAACATTCCAAAAGTCCTAGGGATTTTACCTATAAAACAATTCTAAAATGTCAGCCTATATTTCTTTTAATATTACCTTTAAACCCTTGACCCAGATACTGTTAACAGGTCTCCCAGGGTCCAAACTCACTGTCAATGTTTCAACACTTTCCATCCATCCTTTACCCTGCAATCAAAGTGATCTTCCTAAATGCAAAAATACCTCATGCCATGGTATTAACTTTCCCAGGCCTTGTATTGCCTGGATTTCAAGCACCTTGGCCAGCTCTCACCACGCAACAGCACACACATGCATGCACACAGACACACACACACAGAGGTACACACCACCTCTGAAAAAGAAGAAACAAGTATGGTTATTTCAGAATAAAAATAATTAGACCCCATTACCAAGATATAGAACTTAGGTGTATAGAGTAATAAAATAAATATGTATGGAGCAAATGATTTTCTTCTTCATTGAAGACCATAGTCAAAATAAAGCCTTAGAAAAAGGTTCCAAGAAGACCTCCTAGACTGTGTTTCATGGGGTCTAATACACAGGTTTTATAGAGGTGACACCTTAAGGTGTTTGGAGAAAAGATTTGTCTCCTGGGCCTTCTCTGGTGGCACAGCAGGTTAAAGCACAGCACTTAGAAGCTAAAGCCACTTCAACATGAGTTTGATCCCCACCCCAGAGGTGACCCACATGGCACAGGAGACCTTTCCTGACCCACCCACTACTCCCTTCTGCAGTGTACTTCATCAGTCGGCCTGTTCTCTCCCCACTCTGTCTCTGGTGAATTCTCTCACCACCCCTGCACCTCTGGCCTATACCCCAGATCTGTATGCATAAACAAATAGTTCTTTAAAAAAACATGTCTTCTAAGGCCTCTAGCCTTCTGGGAGCTGGTCTCCACAGCCATTTTTGGTTCCTTCTTCAGTATCCTGTAGGTCCCGATCCCCAGAATTACACACACATACACCCCATTCCACATTCCAAAGGGATCTTGATTTCCCCAGAATTTCCTTAGAAATATTTTCCTGGCCATTATGCATACTTTCCTGTATTGAAAGGCATGTTAGAGTCCATACCTACCCCTCCCCCAAGGGAGGAACTCCCCAGGAGAAACCTTGCTTTCCACACATATGCACTCTGCATGGTACTTATTTACCCTGTCATGAAATGAAAGTCAATGAATGAAGGAAGAAAGGAGAGGAGGGAAAATAAATGTAAAGACTTGATAGAATGCATTTTTTAAAGATTTATTTATTCATATAGAACTGGAGTACAGGCCAGAGATGCGGAGGGTGAGAGGATTCACAGAGACAGAGAAGGTAGATCGACGAAGTACACTGCTGAGGGGAGCAGCGGGCGGGTCAGGAGAAGTCTGCCTCGCCATGTGGATCTCCTCCAGGGCAGGCAGGAATCGAACTCATGCGGAAGTGGCTTAAGCTTCTTAATATTGTGCTTTAACCACCAGGGAGGGTCCCATAGAATGCATTTTTTAAAGTAAATATGGGAAAACTGCCCATAACTCAGCTCCCCCAAACTAAATAAAATTAATTGGTACTACAGTAAAGTACAATGTGAAGCTTGAAAAATGATACATCTAAAAAAAAAGAGAGAGAGAGAGACTCCTCACTCATTGGGAACTGAGGTGAACTTGCTCCACACACTGTCCTGGTGCTAGGACACCATAGTCAGGCTGCACAGTGAAGCCCAGGCCAGCTGCCTTGGTGCTTCCCAATAGGCATCTGCTCCATTTCCACAATCCATGAAACTGCGTGTCTGCTCAGTGCAGTCCAGCTGGGGAATGCATGCGAGAGGACTGGCCACTCTAAAGGCTCTCATGGTGGGTGATGTCCATGGAGGTCCCTCATTCCCACCTAAATCGTTCACCTTTAAATGTGCTGAAAAGTGAGTTTGAAATTAGACTCAGAGCCATATGGCAGTGCTGGGGGGCAGCATATGGTGCATCTTGCTGGATGCTGATCTATAGCATCTTTAAGCACCTTGGTCTCTCTTTACACGGAAGGCAGTGGTAGGCATGGAGCTCAGTGTTTTTCATGGCACTGTTCTTCACATGGGAAAATGAGAGTCACAATATAATCCATCTTAAAACTTGTTCTTGTTTTCTGGGTCATGGTGTGTTGGAGTGCAGAGAAATATGTATCCTCATGTTTATGAACCATGGGAAGTGAACTGCTGATGGATAGAGTTTCCATCTGTGAACTTGAACTATGTTCTGTCTAATAGAAATGTGACTTTAAGCCAACCTAACTGGGTTTCACTTGCAGAGGTAGGTCATGCCAACATAAACTGCCCTTGGGGAAAAATTGGACCTGTGGCAA